ATTCAGCTTAAAAAAGTAAAAACTGAACAGAGAAGAAGCATTACCAAAATAATCACATTAGGACATAACAAAAGAAAAAAATGCATGTAAACCAAATCAACCTGGCCATAATAGTTACTATAAGGACTCTTTTACACTGGAAGATGCATTATTCCAAGCAAACTGGGGTCCATCAACTCATTAATCCTATTATTAATAACAACAGGATGCTTCAGCTAACCATCTGGGGCTTTTCACGAAGGATATTATGTGTTTAAAAGAGATTAGAAAACTGTGTTAGATAGTAGTATAGAATGGCTGTCTTTTTTTCACTTCTTTATCATGATGAGCACAGTTTATGTTATCTTACGATGGTGTGTGAACAATGGCACCAGATGGTTTTCACAATATACAGATTAGTTGTGCTTCTGTTACTAAATATCTCGCACAACTCAAAATCTTTATAAGCAATGCTTTGGTTGTAGATGCATATCAAATTGATGGCGGATTATTTTTTTTTACATTTGTTCAAGTCCTCATTTTGTTTTAAGAAACAAATAAAAAAAAAATCAATAGGTTTTCTGTACCTGCTGAGATCTCAATCTGGCAGCATCTATCTCTTCAACCATTTGTGTGAGGGTGTCGTTTACTAATCTGTAGCGCTCATTGTCTTCTGTCACCATCCTGTCAAGGCCTCCTCTGACTCTCCAAGGCACTAGTTCTAACAAAGCGCTGCTAACCTCATTCAGGGAGTCCAGCACTGCCTTGTTTGTTTTGGCTTCAGACTGAAGTTCCTGAAAAAGAAGACATTAAGAATTAAGAAGTCATGCCGGAACATCACCTAAAAACTGGTGAGCTGAATATATTACATTTCTTTTCTTGGTTTTGAATACACTTTACACCTGTAGATTATGTGCTTCTCATAAAACTTGTTGTTTTAGTAAGCATTTATAAAAAAAGAAAGAATAAGATTTGAACTTCAATGAACATATATATTCAAGATTTCCTTTGTGCTATTTTAATTTTACGGCTAGAAAGGATTACAAAAACATTTTGGCTGGTTCCACACCCCCAGTAATCCAGTGAGTTGTATTAACATGTGTTATGTTGTATGGTAACGTGCATTGCATTAAGGCAGCCCCTTTAACCCTTTCGCTGCCAAGGACGTACGTCGTACGGAGCTACAAAAGTGCTTCCAGCTGGCCAGCTCAGTACGTCGTACGGACCTGGCATTTACAGTTCTACTATAAGCTGATGGTCGCTTTAGCGACCATCAGCTTATAGTAGAACTGTTCAGCAGACTGTCCCCTTTAAATTAATAGCTGTCATCAGCGGCTCACAAGCCGCTGATGACCGCTAATTTTAAAAATACCGGGCGCCCCACCCCCGCCGGCACCGCCGCAGCCGGTGCCAGCTGATTTGAAAAATGTTCCGGAGGGCTTGGCAGCGAAAGGGTTAAATGAATGGGAGGCTGCCAACATACTGGAACTGACAAAAGAAATGGACATGAACCATTTTTAGCAACCTAGTACACCACAATGTATGGCAGTGCAATGACAAGCAGTGACCTATAGAAACATGTCAGAAATTAGCCTTTACATGGCACAGAATATCAGCTGTCAGTCACGCAGCTGTGCGGATCCAGACATAATTGTTACATAAGCTACAACTCGCGGTATACTGAGCCTAGGGTAACGGGAGAACGCTAGTTTGTGTCCTCCTGTTACCCTAAGGAGAACTATGGGGAAAAGCCTTAACCCCATAGTTCTCCTTTAAAGCTACCAAACATTATTGCACACATTTTGTCTTTGTACTATGTTACTATTCAAATCCTTATGTATCTACACATTTTTGTGTTATTATCTTGTACCTTCTTTCTTTGTTGAATGGTGTTCAGTTCCTCTGGTTTATCGCTCTGCAAATCATAGTTCTTCAGTTCTATCTCCACTTTGTCCAGCCACTGGCTCAGCTCCTCATGTGTTGAATGGAACTGTGTTGCAAGAGTTAATGCCTGTTCTAAGACTTTTGAAACGTTGGAACTCAGGTTTGCGATTTCTGAATATCTTGATTTGATTCCATCAAGCTTTTCCTGTATAATGACAACTTCATCACCTAATTCAAATTAAGAATATGTAAGTATTAGGTACAATTTGACTGAAGTGTTTCCTTTGTCTGGACATAAATTTGCACTAACATCTATAACATTGTAATGGTTTTTCCAATTGAGTTTCCCATGCTGTGTGTGGTTGATTTCATAATGCTTTAGCCAATTCCTTAGAAATATTAGTTTTGTTAACACTTGTACTGCCTTTTTAAGTGGTTTGATTAGTAAGATGTCTGCAGCAACAAAAACTCCCTAAGGGCTTGGCTTGTGTCAACGGGCTTTTGTTTTGCTTTAAAGTCCGTGGGAAAGCAAAACGTTGAAGCAGGTCAAATGCAGGTAAGAAGAAGGCCCAGTACAGGTCAATGCCCCTGTCAATAAATTCTTAATGATCCTAAAAGCATCCTGTGCTGGTGTCAAACTGCCATCAACACAAGACCAAAGCCTGTCAGCCCTAATAGTTCATACAGTCAGAATACACATTTTGTTGGGTTTAGTATTTTTTAGAGAATTTCATATTTATTAGATAATGTTCTATAAATATAGCTTAACATTTCACTTACCAGTTGTCTGTTTAAGCAGTTCCAATCCATTCTGTATAGCCTGGTCCACATTTTGCTTCCTGAGCACAATATCTTCCTGAAGGAGCTGTCAGAAAGCATTGAAAATGGGATCATATTGAAATCTGCAGAAATGAATGATGCCTACACCTTAAGAGGAACTACAAGCAAAACTTTTTTGCAGATTTGATTGGAATGGGGAATTGTCAGCACTTCTCTGAAATCTGTAAACTTGTTGAGAAGATGTGTTTTTCCTTCCTGTGTAGACACTGGGACAGGAAGGGAGGGAAAAACGTACCAATGCAGAAACAGGCAGGCATAAATATACTTTTTATTAGTAAAGTGTTGAAGGTTTAGAACCTCTACCAAGTTTTAATTACTGTTCATCTTCCCTTTGGGGAACATTTCCCTAATTTCCTGCATGGGATTTAAGACACAGATGGCAAATGAGAATATAAGGTATTGGGGGCATGGGCAATGAGAATATAATGTATTGGGGGGCATGGACAAAGAGAATATAATGTATTGAGGGTCATGAGCAATGAGAATATAAGGTATTGAGGGGCATGGGCAATGCGTGCATAAGGTAATGAGGGTCATGAACAATGATAATATAAGGTATTGAGGGGTATGAACAATGAGAATATAAGGTATTGATTGGAATAAGCAATGAGAATACAATGTATTGATAATTCATTCTCTAGTTCTATAGCTCCTTATTTTTTTAGCTTTGGATACAGTTTGGAAGGAACTCCTTTCAGGTTTTACTGCAATTGGAGGCTCTATTGGAGAGATTCCATTGCTTTCTATCTGGTAACAAGGTTATCCCCAAGATAGGAAGTGAGGGGAGGTCTCTCTAGCAGCAACACAGAAAGAAGTTAAAATGCTTTTTAAGTTAAACAGAGGTATGCTAAAACTTCTGTCAGCTTTTTTATTGGTGTTTGTTTCCTTGTTGCAAATTTTCCCTCAATTTTTGTCTAGTAAAAATCTGGCTCCAGAACACAAAGTGAGGGGAAATTTCTCCCCAATAGCTGTAAAAAAGCTGACTGGGGTTCTAAACTTTCCTAAATTTATCCAAAACGATTTAAAAATGTTTTTTTGGTATAGATATAATTGAAGTATTACTTCCTCTAAAGTAACATTTGGGGGCACATATCACATATCTTTAGCTAGATTTAAACCCCAATGCAGTAAAATGGGGAGATTAAACTAGTATACTTAAGATCAGACAACTGAAAGCTACCCATGTTTACCCAATACAGTAAACAGATGTAAGGCCCTATAGAAACTACTACATACTTAATTAAAAGTTTAATATTGCTACAATAACAAACTTCAGTTAAGATTTCAAGAGTTAAAAAAACAATACTATTTTTTTTTTTGTACGACTGATATTAGTTTCACTTTCATGGGAAAGAATCTTAAAAGTCTGCCGAAATGCATTTTTTTTTACATATGCCAAAGTCAACGTATAACATCTCTTTCTTCTCAGCAAGCCTGTTAAAATGGATTGTATATATGGTGCAGAAAAAAAAGACATAAAAAAGGTGTAAATCAAAGGATGACAAACATAAACTGAATAAATAACAAAAACGAACAAACATAAAATACCAGCAATTCAGTGTGCTGTCTTGTGAGTACATCTGTAGTGTAATCTTGGACTGATAGTTTGCTCAGCTTGTCAAGTACTTCAGTCAGCCAGTTCATCAGCTCAACTTCATCATCCCCAAATATCTGAGCATTGCAGTGTGCCTGCTGTAGAAGGTCACTTCTCCTGCTACTTCTCTCCTGGATCTCCATGTACCGCGTCTGGGAGATATCTAACTTCTCCTGAACCATCTCCTTCTCTTCTCTGGAGCTAAGGGCCTTTAAAGACTTGCCAATGCTCAGAGATTGGTGCAATAGTGAATTGTGAGCTGTAATGTCTTCTTGCAGTGCCTGAATGAGCAGGGTGTATCCACCAAAAGAAAAAAAAAAGTAGGAAAATATGGCCAAATGAAATAAACACAAAATAATGAAGTTGAAACATAAAAATGAATTAGCACGCTGTTAGTTTAATCAGGCAGTGAGAAAGGAAGAGATGAGCTTTGCAGCTGAGTTGTCAAAACAATTAGCACTCTTTGAGGTTAACATTCTTCAAATGAAGTAGTGAGGAAAGTTTTCAAAGTGAAAAACAGAACAAAGTTAGTCAGATGAAAGCACAAGGAAACAAAACATTACTTGAAGCACTAACTTTTTGCAGCTATAATAAAGATATCTGTTATCACACAATAAGACACTGATTCATCACAACAACACCTAAAGCATACTAAAGTGGCCTTTTAGAATATATGACCACATACGAATGATGAAAACGTTGCGTGAGTGTTCTTCAAGTGCTGTGGCTTGAAAAATCTGGGCCTAAGAGTCATTTACGAGTCACAAGCTACAAGAGTGCACACTGAATTACACTTTATGTACCCATATGCCTCAAATCTACTTAATCAGAAACACAGTATCTGTGCCTGGAACTCTACTGCATGGTCCTTGATCTAATTCCAATTTATGCCAATCATTCACTATTCACTATGTCCATCTCTTTTCATTTGATAATAAACAACAAGTAAATTACTGCAGGAACCACCCGTTTGGCGTCTTTATTGATAGATCTTCATTCCAATAACACAGATGACACCCACCAGACAGCTGTAGTCCTCTTACATCATAGAGCTTAAGCCTGTGTATGGCGGGGCTCATCTGTGTTACTGGAATGAAGATCTATCAATAAAGACGCTTAACAGTGGTACCTGCGTTTGTGCGGTAATTTTTTTGTTGTTCATTGAGTTGGAGCATGAGCAAACTTTTTTTACCTGCACCCAGGTAGATCTCATGTAGCTGGAACTCTGAATGAGAATTGGAGCGGTGATATTTTTTCTTTTATTTCATTTGATGATATTGAATTTGCTTATTACATAAATGCTACCTAAACTGTGATATGAAAGCAGAAGTACTCACAGCTCGCATACATACGTAATCCTTATAGTGGATCAGAGTTTATAAATGTTTGATATTAAAAATTTAAAAAATCTTATAATAAATAATTCCAGTTGAAACCCTTTGCACACACTAATTTATTTTATGAAAAACAATAGCTAATTCTTCCAAAATTGGAAAAAGTTAATTTTTAAAAAGCTAGTGCTTCAATATTAAGAATTTTAAAAGAATCAAGATGGAATGAACTTTCTTACTTTGTGCTGAGAAATCTGCTCCAGGAGTTTAGGTGTCTGTGTACCAATGGGTTCTGCATTGACAAGCTTCTTTTCTGTGCTACTGAGCCACTCAGATAGAGGTTCCAAGGTGTCATTGAACTGTTCTGCTACAATCAATATACCTTCCAGCTGACGATTCCTACAGATGATAAGATTCATGTATGACATTCCATTAATATACAAACATATTCCAGCTATGCTGAGAGAAACATTGTTTACAGACCTAAATAATTTATCACCGCAGAGGCATATCCCTTATCAGACAGCTTAGTACAAAGTTTCAATGAGACAAATGGTGCCTCACAGCAAGCTGTGTCTACTGTGCTGTCTCTTTAGCTGACCCATAGTACACTGAGAAGTGTTTGCAAGCAAGAGATACATTTCTACTCTCTGGTGAAATCCCTTAATATTAACTTAAAGAAATAAGAGAAAATTATCAGGAAATCTCAGAGGTCTATAGCATACTCAACCATACTTAAAATGTTATCTTTTGGATAACACCATGATATTCCTAAACAGGGATGAGCTCTAAAGAGCATTTAATTCCTAGCCTAATAGCCAAGAAAACGGCCAATACTGATTTAACATAAACAGCCTAATTTCAAGGGGGTTCGGATTTAGCATTTAAACTTTGCCGAACCACGCTAAATCAAACCCAGTTATTTTTGACTCATGCCTACTCATAAGCTGTAGATGCTAAAGTATTTTGCACTCATTTATTAAACCCATAAGAGACATATGATCAGGCAGTGCAGACATGGTATTGAACTAAGCTGCATCCGGTAATGCTGTGCTCCATCTTTTCTATAGACAAATAATAAGGTTGTGTTGTAATTACATCGAGGGATTCTAATGACTTCACCAGGCAGAGAGAAAAGCCAGAGCCACAACATGCAATTACATAGTTAAGTTTTGGGCGGATTCAACGTATTATTATTCAAGGAAAAGCATGCATTGGCTTCAGCTTCTCAACAGTTTCATGTCTGCCCTTATGAACCCGCCTGCTGCTTCCTTCGCTTTACGGTTATCATTAATTCGGCTTTCTATGCAATAATATATTGAGCTTTTTAACTGATGTATATTGGAGAACAGCAAAAGTTCATAAATACTAATACACATATATGAAAGTGGAATTACAATGACTTATTCTCAGATTAGAAAGGCTATATAAAATATTACTTAGTGATCACTCTGAAATATTTAATAACATGAAATATGTGCTGTGTTTAAATATTATGTCAGTCAATGCTCGGTCATGAGGCAGCCCAGGGAAAGACTAGAAAACTTGAAGACGTTTTTTAGCCTATACGGAAAAAGTGAACAGCAGTGCCCAATAGTATATATGAAGCAGCCTGGCTCTCTTCTCTTCTGGGGCAGAAATCTTACACAGCTTCAATAAACATGTACCTTCTCTGATCAGAACCACTTCAAAATATAAGCCGCATGTATCCATGTACTTAAAGACTTTACTTCTTTTTTGGGTAACAGGAGTACTTTTACTAATGTACTCCTGTGACCCAAAGTTACATAATCATTCAGCTCTTGGTATATACTGCTGACATATGACAGCTGCAGTGTCTCATGCCGGCTGTAAGTATTGGGAAGAGTATATTGTACTCTCCTAATGCCTCTCCTTTAAATAAATTATTGTATCTTAGATGAGCTTTTTATGAATTTAATTAAACATATATTTATATTTTCTTCTACTTTTTGGGGTTTTGTTTACCTTAACTATAACAGGTTTATATAGTGTAAAGTGATGGTTTATATCTACTGAAATTATATATATATATATATATAAAATAAAACTAGATCCTACCTGGTGAAACCCCGCACAGCCCTCCTGAGAACCCCGCACAGCCCTCGTGGAACCCCACACAGCCCTCCTGAGACCCCGCACAGCCTTTCTGAGACCCTGCAAACATCAGGCCGCCACCCCAGCGCAAATTGGAGTGTGTAGCTTCATATTATTCTGCATTGTTGTATAATGTATTGCTGGAATTTGTAGTCCTCTATAGCTGATGGTGTTCTGCATAGCTGTATAATATATTGTTGGGATTTATAGTACTCTATAGCTCATGGTATTCGGCATTACTGTATAATATATGGCTGGGATTTGTAGCCCTTTATAGCTAAAGGTATTCTACTTTGCTGTATAATGTATTGCTGGGATTGGTAGTCTTCTATAGCTGGTGGTATTCTGCATTGATGTATAATGTATTGCTGCATGGCGACCATCTGTGGCGGATCAGTGTCTTTAAACCTGCTTCTGTGCTCTTTTCTTTTGGTGTGGCGTTGCCCGTCCGGATCCACTATGGAGGTGAGGCTTGAAATCAGTTCATTCAAGTCTCTCCTCCATGACAGATTAGAAGGGGCACCACTGGGAAAAAAGAAGCGAGACCAGAAGTAGATATTTAATTAACAGGGCAGCATTGGAGAATTAGGCGATTTGAAGCCTCACCTCTGTGGTGGATCAGGAGGGACGCCGCCATTACAAAAGAAGAGAGCCCAGATGTGTGGAGTGGGGGCAGTGGTGTTTGGATGGAGAACTTCTCCTGGGAGGGGAAGCAACTCTGAGTCTTTGCCCAAGGTGACGAAATGTCTAGCTTTGCCACTACAGATGAGAACCATCTGCAGGCTGTGGTGTGTTGCACTGAAAAAAAAGAGGCACCTTTCCTTTTTTCTTCTTATTTTGCCCATATTACACCTGTTATAAATGTTTTGTTTTGCATCATGTTTTGCATTATATGTTACTGTAGCTATATTTTAACACATTTCTTGTTAAAAAAAAGTCTATTTTCTAATATTTTTTAGCGCATTCTGTTGTAGTTGTAGTCCATGTAGGCTTGCCTCAAGGCATAGCATGTTAAGGTATGTGTAGTAATGGACTGCAATTGTGTAACTCTGACCTTAAATTAGAAGATGTTTTTGCCCACAGCTTTTTAACTGTGTACTCTGGGACACCAAACCTCATGACAATTATTTGATGTTTACCATTTTGTGAATACAAGACATTCAAAGGAACTAAAAATTACATGGTTAGCTTTAATCCCATACGTGGAAGGCTTTTGAAGGTAACAGTACTAAAAGTTGTCCACTAGGACTAAAAGCATCAATCACACAGAGACAGACAGTGTCATTAACAAATACAGTTAAGAACAACCATGTATGTACTGTAGCAGACACCAGATGGGTTTAATCTTCAACTTAATCCTATAGATGTGTTTAACAAAAGAGTTTAATCACTCACTGTTTACTTTATGTCTGGTACTTTTGACTTTTCATTTACCCTTTATTAAAGCAACACTAAGAAAAGGAATTACTAAAATGCATACATCAGAAAAAGAGTAGCATAAAGTTAGCCTGCAAGCTCAGGTCAAAGCGTTAGGATTAAATATGGTCACATATTCATATCTGGGAGTGTAGATTTACAGGGAAAAAAACTCAAGGGCAGTGTACTTTTAAATTACTATAATTGCACAAACTAGTGAATGGTGCATAATGATTTTAAGCTGGAATTATTTTTTAGATATTCGTTAAACTTTTATTTGGGATGGAATCAGGGGAATATGGGTATGACTATAGGCTCTTTATGCCCACAGTGTATCAAAGCAAAATACAAAATATCACGCACATTATGCTTTGTGTTACTGCTTTGCCTACTGCGTTGGGCAACACTCGCTAAAGCAGCCCAACAGGGCTAGTGTGAACGAGATATAGAATGATTGTAATTTAACATACAGTAAGATCTTGAATATTGTGGTGATCATAGATACAGTAATCAATACTGTATCTATGATCACCACATAATTAAATTACCTATTGCCTTAGTCAACTAAAGTCCATTGTCGGGCTGAAATGCATCAGCAGTTTTGAGAGCTGTTTTTATGTCAAAATTAAATAAAGACTGTATTTTGATGGACCCATTTGAAGTTTCTACACCGCACCTTTAGCCCTTATGCACACAGCAATGACAATACATGAGTCCAGGTGCATTTGGAGCACCTGAAAGCGTGTAATGCTTTGCTATGGCTGAATGCACACCTAGATGTTTAGCAGTGTCTAAATGGATTCCGTCTAGCAGCTTTAACACAAACAAGAATTTTCTGCATCCCGAGAGCCTGGTTTTATGCAGCAAAACACGCCTAAATGCATGTACCCAAACACACCTAAATGCATGCAGCTAAACACGCCTTAATGCATCTAAACACAATTAAACCCAGAAACATCTAAACACAGTGTTTAAAGGCCATGTGCACGAGGCCTTAGGCTGTCCATAGTACTAAGCACAGGGAAGGTATGCCGTATGTATTACTCAGTACTGCACTGTTCAACTGTTGTTCTCCCATGTTCCATATTTTCATGAGTTCAGGTCAGAATGTTTTAATGTACAAGTAGTTTAAAAGTATTAGTCATACCGTAGTTCAGCTTTCTTCAACAACTCATCCCACCGACGCTCGAGGGTACTGAGCTGTTTTAAGATCTTGTCTTTATCTGCCTGGTCAGCAGTAGCAGCAATCTTTCCCCCCTCTCGTTTGATAACATCAATGGTTGGCTTGCGGTCATCAAGTAATCTTTGCAGCAGCTGGTAATAAAATAAAATAAGAATGATTTAAGACTTTATCAGGGTAGCAGCCCATATAAATTCAAAACGTTTAATGGGAAACTGTAAAAAGTTTTGGTTTTAAGCTAGTGTTTTTGATCTATTATTTATGATATATTGTTTTGCTATAAATATAAGATGTTACAAATAAACATGTATTACATAGCACACCCAAAACTGTGTACCATCTGCTGGCTGGATATGAAAATATGAAATATGTGTATGCAATATATCATATTTACCTGACTATAAAAATGAAAAATATACAGTTCACATTTTTGAATCCTTAGAGCGAACCTGAACTCAAAAAGTGATTTGCTGTGTTAAAGGGAACATCTAGAAATGTTAATTGTATTGAAGTAGTACCCTGAAAAATGTTGTCTTGTATTTATCCTGAAAATAGCAGTGCACATCCTGGCATTTCAGTATACATATGTTATACTGTTGTGCTTCCACTAACTGCTAGTTTCAGGAGATTTGGAGTACAATTAAGGAATGTCACTACTGTGAAGGCCACTGTTCTCCTCGCTGTAGGTTTTGGAATGAGGATGCAAAACCCTGTCTCTACCAAGAAGGCCACCTCAACCATCTGGGAGAAAGATCAGCTGCAGGTAGACCACAGGCAATACTGGTAAAAAATATTTTGCATTCTTCCCTCATTTTACTTAGGCACAGCTTCCAGAGTTCAGTTACTTTTTTAAGATAAGTCCCCTTATATTTTACACAATGGAGCTGAAGACATAGTATACTTTTTAGCAATATATACAAGCAGCACCTATCTGAAAAGCTAAAGTGTACCTGTCCCCAGACCATGGATATTGTTTACATATTTTTTAAAGCAGTATAAAAGCTTTAAAACAAGCCTCCCTTGACCTCTCTGTCTGCATGTACTGTGAAGTAATCCATTCTTAAAAGTCCTTGAAGACCAAAACAGACTCTAAAGTTGGGTTACAATATGTTTCTAACCGCTTATAATCACCTGTTGTGTGTTTATATGAGAGTGATGGCCGGCTGCCAAGATTCTGGTGCAATAGAAAGTAAAAAGAAAAAACTAAGATTTCTGTGCCTGTGTTGTGAACTTAGAAGATGAATTTTCCCACAATACCTATAGCAACCAAGGTAAATGATGGATTGTGGTGACAGGTAAGTCGCCAGAATTGCTTCTGTTGTAAAGCCAACAGTCGGCTTTACAAGTTTAAACAGACTCCCGGCAGCAAAAGTCGCCGGGAGTTTGTTTAAACAGCCCCAATGCTGGCGACGTACACTGTACGTCGTCAGTCACGAAGGGGTTAAAGTGATTTTACTGCTTGTTCCAAATACTCTAGAGTGCATTGTTTGGGCACATGTTCACTTTAAACTTGCATGTTATAAAATATTTTCTTTTTCACAGGAGAGAAAATAATGAATTAGGCTTACTCATGAAAAAGCATAAACCCAAATTATGTTTCAGCTGAAAACTGCTCTTGTACCTTTTGTTCCTGAATCTGAGCTTTCACCACTTTGAATTCAGCAGATGGTAACTTCTGATTGGTCACAAGGTCCTCTGTGTCTGCAAGCCAGCTCAGTATAGACTCAAGTGCATCTTGAAACCGTCCACATTGGAGAAGGGCTTCTTGTAATTGAGCTGCACGTTGAACAACCTAGAAAAAAAGGACTTTTTCTTTAGTTTAACATAATATAAAAATGCCATACAGAACAAAATTTGCCAGCTGCAGCCTTGCTCCACTTTAAAAGCTCTCACTATACACTATCATGTATTATCTTGGCTAGAGCATTTTGTTTTAGCAATGTTCTGTAAGCAAAATAGCTTTACTTTATAAAGGCTATAGCTACCCACAGATGTCCATTAGGCCAGCACTTAGCCATGAGATGAGTGGCAAACACACCATTTTTTTTACAATAAATATATGCAATCCTATCTTATCCTACAAATATGCATGTTTATGTGCCCTGCAATCACTGGTAATGCTGTTATTGGTATGAAGAAACAAAAAGCTATAGTTACAGGTGGGATGGCTTGGGATGCAGGCTTTGGGGAGCCATCATGTAATGTCAATGAGTACTTTAAAGTTTTGGTACAGCCAAAACGTTTTTTGGATGGAGTAGGGAAGGATTAGAACCCCTGTCAAGCTTTAGTATTTTCTGTGCCCCTGCTGGGGAGAGTCACCCTGTCTATTCGTCCTGGTGCTATTGCCACAGAGAAAGAAAGTAATAGAAAGACAACATTTCTCAAGGTGTCACCAAAACAAGAAGTGAGGGCAAATATTCCAATGGTGACATTGGTCATAAAGAGAAATATCCCTCATGTTGTAGAGATTTCCTCTTACTTCTTGTTGTGTCTCCAAGACAGGAAGTAAAGGAAAATCTCTCCAAAATGGCAGCAAAAAAAATAAACTGATAAGGGTTTAACTCTTCCCGATTCTATCTAAAACTAAACAGAAAAGTATTGGCTATGCATATTTTTTAAATACACTTTGAACTTTTTCACCATGATATTACAGACTTCCTAGCACAGTGTATACTTATCCCTACAATCTCTCCTTCAAAAGCAAAGGGCAATGGTAGTAGGATTTTGAAGCTGAATTCCTAAAGGAAAAACCTCTTCTATTACTGTCTTACCGACTACTGATGCTTTCTAAACATGCAACTACTTTATATACCTCAAAAAGAAAATCATATTAAAATGCTTACAAATAAAATAACAAAAATAATAAAAACATTTCCCCTAATCCTTAAAACAGAAAATCTCCACAAAATAGAGTAACCATTCAAGTGGAGCTTTGCAATTGTGCCAAGTCTATAAAATCGGCACAGCTGACTAGATAACTAGCAATGTGACAATCTGTATACCATACAGAAATAAGCCAAGCAAGGACACTGGATGTCTGAGCAAGAACAAAATAAGCACAGTCTTGAAAAAGTGCCCAGACATGAAAGGGAATATTTAACACATAACTCAGAAAAGAAGAACAAAAGGAAAGTGTTGAAATCCGTCACAGACAAAACAAAAGCTGAATTCGGTACCTTTTTGTTCAGCGTATTCCACCTTGTGTTTACTTCCTCCAGATCATTTTCTAAATTCTGGGTGCTGGTGTTTTTAGCAGCACTTTGAACAAGCCCCTGACCTAGCCAGTTCACCTCTTGTAGTCGAGTTTGAATAGGTTCAATTTCTTCCTTCTGGAAAGCCTGAAAAGTTTAAAAAATATTTTGCATAAGTATTTTGTGTTGATTTAATGCTTAAATATTATTTGCAATAGTTTGTTGTATGTAAAGAATACAGTGTGTCTTTTTGTTCTTAAGATTTTTAATCTCTACCTTTATAACTACCTTTATAACAAAATTAAACCAGGACCTTCATTTTAAATGTAATCCTACTAATGATACCATTATCATTCTTTGAGTACATCTGCACTGAAAGAAACACAAAGACTGTTATTGCTGACCTACTTTTAAAATTGTTGGTTACTTGGCTGTCTCTGCCGCCAATACTTTCAGTCACTAACCCAGAAAGAACATGTAACTGTTTACAATCTGGGTGACATCAGAATTCATAATGCACATACATGTTCATATGAATAATGTAAAATGTATTAAAGCCTTTTGCTTAAAGTGACAATAAACTCAGGAGTAACATTTTAAAAATGCAGTCAAGTGGAGAGTAGCACCTATTGCTCCCCATGGTTCCTGTGTATGTTGTAATCAGTGGTGTCTTTAAGTTTTGTGCTGCCCTGGAAAAGACTACACTCGGGGGACCCCCCATTCCAAATTTGCCCCACCCCTTCCTGTTTAGGAAATGTTTCATAACCTGTCAGTCGCTGGATACAGCGTGCATGCTGTATCCAGCTTCTGACAGGTTGCGTTAGTAGCATAGCAGGGAAGCCAGGGTCTCAAGTGGGCTGTAGGGAGCCCACCATAGACCTGCAGAACCCACCTGAGACCCTGCAGAGCCCACCTGAGACCATGCAGAGCCCACCTGAGACCCTGCAGAGCCCACCTGAGACCCTGCAGAGCCCACCATAGATCCTGCAGACCCCCACCACAGATCCTACACAGCCCCCCATAGACCCCGCAAAGCCCACCATAGATCCTGCACAAGCCCACCTGAGACCCTGCAGAGCCCACCTGAGACCATGCAGAGTACACCACAGACCCCACCTGGGACCCCAAAGAGCCCACCATAGATAACGCAGAGCACATCTGAGAGCCAGCAGAGCGCACCATAGATCCTTCACAGCCAACCTGAGACCCCACAGAGCCCACCATAGATCCTGCACAACCCACCTGAGACCCTGCAGATCCCACCACAGACCCCACACAGGCCAACACAGACCCTGCACATCCCACCTCAGACCTTGCAGACCCCCACCACAGACCCCCACTTACCTGAAGCCCCCCAGCCTGAATCCAGGTCATCACGCTGTCAGATGGTGGGGTATGGGCAGTCCCGAGCCACCCTCAGCTCTGTCAGCCAGGCCACATCTCACTCGCAAAGTGAAAAGCTCCGCCTCTGGTCCCACCTCGGCTCCTCCTCCACCCCGCCTCCGGTCCCGCCTCCTCCACCCACCAACTCTTTCAGAGTAAATTAGGCAGCCGTGAGCGGCAAAAAGCGGCAGCCTAATTTGCCTGATTAGGCAGCCCAGTTCGCAGCACCAATTTGGGGGCCGCATTGTGCCACCCCCATGAAAAGTGGCGCCCAGAGCAAATGCATTGTTTGCCTTGCGGCGGATACGTCCCAGGTGTAATATAGCCACTACTAGGGTACTTAAATGCATTTTTAAAATATAACTCCTGAATTTAGTGTCAATTTAAATATTTCATATACAAAACATAAGCCAATAATTCAAATGAACTCTTCTGAACTGCAGCTCCTCTTAAAAATGTATCAAGTGGTGAACGAAAGGGGGCATCAGTTGTTGTAAGAAAGCAGACAGTAATTACACAGGACACGCTCTTCAGTGTACCCTTCCTCCACTCCCCAGATGAGGTCAGCACATAGTAAAATAAAATGAGTTTGTGTATTCACAAATGTCTGCCCTACAATACTCTCCTAAAATAGAGTTTGTGCTAACCTTAAAATGTACTGTATTAAAAGAAAATTAGCAAAACCTACTTATAAAACAGAACTAGCAAGACCTTGCAAATGAGAAAGAAGGAAAATGAGCTTTCATAGACTGTACCCAGGGTGCATTTTCTCCCTAATATTTGTATAGGGGTTCACTAGGTGCACTGGGAATTTTTACAAGAGTAGGGATACTAATTTTAAGCGTCACTGTGAAAAGAATAGACAAAGGTTTAGCATACATTGCATCACACCTTCTAACAGCACTGTTTTTTTGTATAGCCCACATATGTAGTGGGGTAACGGCAGGGGTGGCACACAAAATGCTGCCACACTCAACATCCTGTTGTCTGTACCACATTTCCATGTATAGTGAAAGGCTCTGGCCTGCAGTCATGCCCGCCAGTGCCATCCACACAAAACAGCTGACCTATGGGGACAGGATGTATAAACCTGGTCTTTCCTCCTGACCTAGATTTATTTTGGCAGGATAGTTAAGAAGGGGTAACCAGGTTATGGATAGATTAAATGTGCAACAGAGGCCAAAACCTTTTTGTTTTGGATAGAGTGGAGAAGGATTATAATACATGCCACGTTTTATTTGCTGTGTGTGTGTCCATTGGGGAGAGTCCCCCCCATTTGTCCTGGTCACCGTTATCAGTGAAAAATAACGTGAGAAAAAAATTCCAAATCTTGGGTTGTCACTAGAACTGGTGGAGTAGATGGGAAATCTTCCAAATGGGAAACTAGTTCTAATGATCCTGCTGACCACAAGGCATTTCTCTCTTTTTGGAGGGATTTCCGCTCACATCCTGTAGTGGCCATGGGACAGGAAGTGAAGGGACATCTATTAAATGGAATATGGTTGGCAAAAAAAATAACCACCACCAACTTTACCCAAAACTAAAAAAGTTTTGGCTCTAGTTCTGCTTTAAATAAAACCCTTTCAATTATCCATTGTAACGCAAAGCAGAGCCTTCTAAAGCAGGTATTTATATATCATCACTTCCATTACAAAGCTGAAAAATGGGGCTTTATTTAAGCACAATAAAAAAGCCCTAGACCATTACTTTATACCACAAAGCCCAACTATTCCTCTAAAACTGCTGTTTTTTTTAGTATGGATACACAATGATATTTATTTAGAGCCTTATATTCTATACTAGTGGTTCTCAACCTGTGGTTTGCACCCCCCTGATGAGTGCCATCTGCTGCTCTAGGTGAGAGGAGGAGAACAGCAGTGCCAGTTCTCTTGCTGCCAGATGTTGCTGCATCAGCCGCAGCCATTGAGGAACAGAGAGCAGGCAAGTGTTTTTTTTTTTTT